TTTGCTATTGGGCTAGTGAATTCTGTTATTAACTTGCCGAACAGGCAAGTGAAGTTTTTTGAGGAATTCAAATTACAGAAGAACTGTGAAATCAATCTGATCATCAAAACCTTTTTGGGGCTAGTTGAAATGATGTTTGGACAAGTAAATGTTAGCTTCAGCTTGCCCGAATTTGACTTTCTTTGCACACTACCCAGCAACATGAAATCTTGACAACAGGACTAGTATGTGGTCCTGGCATTCCACAACAAACACACTTGGTTATTAAACAAGGATTATGATGTCACATATATATAGATCTTACTGTTGATCCTGACCCAGCATGGCCTATGTTACTACGAAATAAGATCATAAAATAATTCTGATAGTACACTAACAGTCACATACCATGCCTTTGATCCCTTCAGGGTACAAAAAGCGATTATATAGAGTATCCACCGTGTCATTGGCGTCAACATCTACACTTTTTTGAAGCAGGATAGGACCTGTGTCTAAACCGTCATCAGCCCAGAACACACTGAAACCTCCCTGCTTGTCGCCCTCCATTAAAGTCCTGAAAAGAATAAAATCCACGTTATATTCATAGTTTACAGGAGGCATCATCCCCAAGTAGTTAAAGCATTAGACTTGCAATTCGGAGGCCTTGAATTCAAGTCCTGCACTATTCACTAGCTGGATTTTTGCTCATGGTACAGTCAAACCCTGTTCAAACAGACACTGAGGGGGCCATAGAAGGTGTCCGTATTAAAGGGGTGTCTGCCCCAGGGGGGGAGTACTCTGCATTTCAAGTGACAGGGATGATCAAAGAATTTTGGGGGGTTTGAAATTTTCGATTTCGGGATTTTCTTGGGTAGGCAAATTTTGGCAAGTATTTTTTTGGGTAGCATGATTTAAGCAGGGATTTTTTGGGATATTCAAAACTTATATTTCTATTTTTCTTATTACATCACTTAATGCTTTCTGGAAATTTCTATGGCGCGGAAATTTGGCATGGGGTTTTTTTTGGTTTTGTTGCAAGCCCTAGGGATTTTTTTGGGTTTTGCTTTTTGTCCCCATTCTATCATCCCTGTCACTTGAAATCCGGAGGACTCCCCCACCCCTCTTAAATTTTGCAGACATTCCAACTGTAAAATCTCAGTCTCAGTGTCAATCACCTTAAAATTGGCTTCCTAGTTAGATTATTTTCTCGTTTAGGTCGCATCGATAAATTTGTTTTGCATAATTAACACGTAAAACCAAAGAACAAATCCACAAAAAAGTACAAGAATAATTATTGTAAATATAGTTTTGGAATGTCTTTTCCTGGACAATCAACATTTTACATAACGCATAAATTAATACCGACAAACCAAAATACTGTAAATTTATCTCTACTCTTTCGTCTAGTAAAACTCTTATTGAACTAAATATAAACATCAACAACGGCACCAAAACAAGATGGCGACAGCCATATAAAAGGTCAAATCCTATAGGTCATTTCAACCATTTTATAAACAAGCAGCTCAATGAAACAAACGAAGAAAAAAAGATTTTAATAACTGAAAAAAATTTTGTAAAGAAAAATCAAGCTAAACAAATATGTATGCAGACGGAGAAATTAACATCTTTCTATGGTAAAACTAAAAGAGAAAGTGATATGGGAAATTTCATGGTCTTCGCAGCCGACATACCGGCCGGCCCAGCTTCATTTCAAAAGTCCCTTTTTATCGGTACATTATCCTTGTTTGACTGGTTTGAAATTATCTCTTCCAAGCCTCAAAATTATCTGTTTATCTTATTTAACGGTCCGTTGCAACGACAACGTGTTCAGTCCAACTATCAATGATCGAAATCAACACGCTATTCAATAGAGTTGTTTTTACTTTTTGACCTTTATAATTCCCTTGAGCATTCAGCTGTGTTAAGAAAAGAGCTATTGAACTTCTTAACAACAAATCAACACGTTTTGATTATAAATAACTTAAGCTAAGGGTAATGAAATTGGCATCCCACAGAATTGAACACTTGTGGTTTTGCTTGTACTTTGCGTGACCATGAACACAAGAAAAACTCACCAATTTATCGCAGAGGCACCTCTGTGTCTTGGAAGCAGAGAAGGATGGTAAATAATAGAGCCATGTTTGGGGAAGTCGATCACATTCATTGGTATGAATTGCGAGCAAAATGGTAGAACGTTAAGTTCGGCTCCGCACGCTTTGTATTCGTCGACCACTTCCTCGATAGGTTCTCCTTGGGAACGCCATCGTTTAAATTTGAAGACTTTGACTCCGTCTGCCTCTGCTCCCGCCGCTAAAATATCAGGCTTGCCTTTTATGTCAGGGACGGTGAAAACCCCGACGATTTCGTGACCTTTTGCGCGAAGGCTTTTGTAAACTTCCAAGCCAAACTGCGACTGTCCGATCACGGCTACTCTCAGCGAACCCATTGCGTTGCGTGTTGTGTAAATGTTTCTTGCTAATCTTGCTGTTGTTACCTGTGCAAAACGAAAGGCAGAGAGCATTATTCGCACAGCCTTGCAATAAACTCTCGATTCGCAGGTTTAATGGACGTGCTCTGTCCACGAAAACCGTGCAATTTGCGATCAAAAACACAGCCCGGCTATTGTACAAGTTTCTTCTTCAAAACTTGTTGGGTATATGAAGTACGCGCCAATCACAAAACACTACGCGACATAACCTGAAAGACTCGTTTGGTACAACTAACTCGGGGGCGGTTTCGGGGGTGTGTTAAGTCTTATTGTTCTTTCATGGTCGATCCCATAAAATTACTACGTTTAGTTGTGAGACATATATAGCACTTTAGCATACAACAAATAGAAGTTATCTTAAAGTTTACAGTTGCTATTGCAATTTGCTATTAATAGCAGGTAGAAACACAGGACTTCTCAAGTGACTCATGAAGTGTGACCAAAAGAACGTGAAAATATCTCAGCCCATGATCACGTCCTTCCACTGGGTCAATCACCTTGGTCAATCGCCAGAAAAAAAAGGAAAGTTTTTTTTCTCTATCTAAGAATGAACGCATAAAACCTGTCTTTTTCTAGGAAAACTGGTTCAATAATCTCGTGGCATTTAGAAAATGAAGGCATGCCTGAAAATATTAAGAGTATTTCGTGACACAACCCAAAGGATCAGATAACGGCAGTCTTGCTACGTTTATCCTAAGACAAATTTTCTTTCGTGCTTTTCTTTTGGTCGTTATTTAGACAACATCAATCACTGCAACCTGAAATTCACTTACCAAGACTGCGACCTGAGAAAACGAAATTTACGGTAATGAAAGAAGTGTCGTCGTTCGTGCGATGTTATAATGCACTTCCACCCGCGATCAAAATCAAATGTAAATGGCTCGAGAAAAACAGGTTTCCGGAAAAATATGACAATCACAAGGCCAATATAGGGCCAGTCTGGGCCCTTATTATGAAGACTGATAAGAAACAATAGTCATAACTCAATCGCCTTTGTAAGTGACGTAATTAACAAGTTCAATAAACGACGCGTGGCAATAAATACCCACATGCTAAACAAATTTTCGGAACCTGGCGACACATGAAGGCGCTCAAAGTTATACAAGGATGCATTTTAGTCTCTCTGCACAAAACAAAAAATTTTGATAAATCCGTTTTCGAATATTTGACCACACCACAATCAATTATCTTTTAGGGTAGCAGTGATGAGCATCTATTTTCTCCTTACAATACCTTCACTTAATCGAACGTAAATGGTGTGGAAAATGAGCATGTTAATTTTCAATTTAAGAAAAAAATTATTAACTTAGCTTACCTTGGAAGTTCATATTGCTTTTCTGCCCAGTTAGTATCACATTTGATTTTGATGGATCTGTGTAGGACCACTGGAAGGTTCAGCCCTCCATATAGCTAACCATGCATTCTGCTGTGCTGACTCCTTTTAGTATCCTTTTAGTAATTAAAGATAGAAGACAAATGAAAGAGGCCATCTTAGGGGGTTACATATATCCCTGGAGTGGGGGAGGGGGGGTGATTTCCATACAAAAGTTATAGGGATGCTTGTCGTGTCTCATTTAGGGTGTTTGGGATGGAGAGTGTTTGTTTCAACATAACATGATGTTTCTGCTAAAAAGTATGATAATTTATGACAAATGGCTATTGACCGGCCAATCTTCATTAGCAGCCACTAGTTGGTACCCTTAGCTGTAATCATCAGCCAGTCTAAAAGGAGATAGACTATTCATAGTCCTGTATTTTCCGTAAGATCGTCGAGATTGAGTACTTTGCGTTACAGGCCGCCATCTTGCATGAGCGTCAAAAGCTATAATCCCCGACGCCCGCCTCCTTGGTACATTTGAAAATGGAGATGGCTGTCATTAACAGTAAGACACACTATACTCAACGATATCAAGAAAAAACAGGGGACTGTGAACAGCCTATAAAGGAGACTCACCAGGAGTCTTCTCACTGGACGACAGCTGCGATTATTGTTTAATTATACATTTCGTAAGAGAAAATATAAATAACAAAATGCACCATCACACAGAACAATAAATATTAACACCTAACAATTGCTCCCTGGGGGAGCAGTTACCAGGGGCAGATCCCGGAATGTTTTTAATTGGGGTGGTCCTATCTTTGATTCAGAAGACATGGTTGGAAAGTCAAAATACGTCATGCCTCATACTATGGTACCCCCAGACTCCCCCCACTAGTAGTTTACACTTTAATCAATTTGATATCAGTTTACTTAGTCCCTTACCATGCAGATGACTTCTACTCATAGAGGATGCACCCTTGGAACATCCATCCCTCCTATTGTGCTTGGTAACAAAGGCTGTACTGAAGTTGTCAATGCTAATGTTAAGGTCTAGCTTACGAGCAAGCTCTCCGGGGTGCTCTAGAGGTGGGGAGGAAAAAGGGAGGAGAGCTTGCGACTACGTCTCTGGAATTTTAATATCAGCATCAAAAAAGTTGATGCGAAATGCTGATTGGCAGAGATGACATTAGTAATGACGTCATTACCCTTGGCCCATGGTTTTTTTGTTTTTTTACATTATTTTGTGCTTGTTTATGCTTCATGCTGATTGGTGGAAATCTGACAGCTCAGTCAACAGGAAGTCAAAGGAGAATTGGAGGCAGAATTCAAATTCCAGAGAAAAAGCTGCAAGCTCTCCTTCCTTTTCCCGCCCCACTAGAGAACGCCCCAGAAAGCTTGCTCGCAGGCTAGTTAAGATCATGATGCAAGTGCATGAGTGCCAGTCCTGACAACCCCTCTTGAGACATCCTGTTTCTGAGATATAATTTGATTCTCCCTAGAATTTCAGTGTCAAACACTGTAAAAAACAACCATAGGAGTGATGGGGGGTCTGGGTCCCCCTCCCCCTCCCCCTGGATCTGCCACTGTTTATTTTTGTTTCCTAGGAACCTTATAGCAACTGCTTGCAACAGATGGTCACTCAAAATAGGTGGTCTTACATCGGTCCAACTGTAGCGCTACTTACTCACTATAGAGGACAAGAGAGTAAAAGAAAATGATAAATGTAGCTAAAATATTGGTCTATAATTATTATAGACCAATATTTGGATATATCAAAATTCAGGGCTTAGGGGAATAAAACAGAAAAAACATGTTGTAAGACAGGGTTAAGTAATAAAATTCTATAATTTTACTTCCCTAAGTGTTAAAGTAAAGTATGAATTTGATTAATAGCAAATGGAAAATTGGCCTATTTTGAAACAATGTACCCAACCCCCATCCCACCCCCACATGTCTCCCAGCCTGCCTGAAAAGTACAAAGGTTGTTGCGATCTTGCAGCCTGCACGTTAAAAAAAAAGAATGATGAAACTATAGCCTTACCTTTCCTCTCTGTATGAAACCAAAGTCAAACGAAAAAATCATTTACACTTTGTGGCAACATTTTACAATCCGAATAAACGATGAACGCACAAATCCCAGTCGAACTTTGGACAGGCCACTGCGTTGGCACAACAACTACATCAATTGCGGGGTCTATTTCAAAGCCGATCGCTTCCATTTTCCTAAGTAAAGAACATTTCCTAACCTTAGACAAGGAGGTTTGAAATTTGTATTCATTTTCCCCCTTGAAATGTTAAGATCAGTGAGAAACTACACGCAGTGTACGGTCTGAACTTTTTGAGGATGTAAATTCCCATCACGAACAACACATCCGTTTTGTGGAAACGAGGCTCAAAGGCGCCAAAATGAAAACTAGTTGCCAGTCCCCTACACAGAAGCCGTAAAAAATCCACTGAAAAATCAAGAGATAAAACTCCCTAGAATCTCTTAATGTTTTATTAGGCAAATAAGTGATTCAAACAATCCATTTCAGATTTCACAAATCATTACTCTTGCTATTTCATGTAGGCTGGACTTAAAATACGAATTCGGGGAATAAGAGGTCAGGAGTAGTTTTTTAACCCCGCTTTTAACCACCTGGCCCCAGTTGTTCAAAGAGGTCTTCAAAAGGTGGATAGCGCTATGCACCGGATAAATCTCTATCCAGTGGATAACGCAATCGATTTCCCTAATTAGTAGTACTTATCCCCTGGATAGCGATTTATCCGGTGGATAGCGCTATGAAAAACCTAAATCGGGTGTGGGTGATCACATATGTATATTATCAAATTTTTTATCTGCTGTTCTAAGACGAAGTTCACTTTCTTTTTCAATGTCCTACACACACTCTGATTAGGAATAAATTTTACTATAAAGTCAAGACTCTGATTCCAAATATTACCCAGTTACCTATAAACGGTTTGATCAATGAACTCAGATGATTATATATCAATATATAATGTAAGAAAGATCTCACTCTCACGTTAATTCAAACACACATGCGTTATTTCTAAGAGCGAGGCAAAAAAGGAAGCTGAGTGAGATGATAGCACAAGGAGAGGCGTGGCGAGGACGGGAGACTATATGGACGTTTTCAGCGACGCGCGTCAACCGGAAGTGGACTTTTCGTAATCTGGGGTACTGGTCTTTCCCAAATTTTCTAGCAAATCGTCTCTATAAGAGTTAAGATACTTAGCAATGGAAATTTGGTAGCGTCAAGGCAGGTCTAGCCCCCGCTACTGTTTTAATTTTAAAATTTGGTACTCAAGATTTTACTAATAGGTCCAGCTTAGCCTCAGCTGGTTTATCGTTGTGGTTTTGCCTTCTCAAGTGTTTCCGGTGAAAAGGGAACGAACGTCCGTCGCTGAAAATGGTCTTTGCTTAAACTCCCTAATTGCGCGTTCTTGTCACGTATTTCGAGGGGAAGTAAACTGTTCACAGTCCTCTATTTTTCCGTAAGATCGTCGAGATCGAGCGCTTTGCGTTACGGGCTGCCATCTTGCATGAGTGTCAAAACTACTTAGAGCTATAATCCCCGACGCCCTCCCCATCGGTACATTTGAAAATCAAGATGGTCGTCATTGACGGTAAGACGAGCTATATCTAAACGATCTCACGAAAAAATAGGGGACTGTGAACAGTCTAGAGGGCAAGGTAACCTGCGATCAGGCG